GAAGAGAAGAAGGCTGACAGAGAGAAAAAGCCTTCCCTGGTACTGACACCCTGAAATTGAACTTTTAGCCTACTTTGACTGTGAGGAAATAAACCTCTCTTCGTTAAAACCATCCACTTGTGGTATTTCTGTTATAGCAGCACTAGATGACTAAGACAGAATTTGTTGTATCATTTTAGGTGCAAGTATGACTTTGTAATCATCTTTATTCAGAGATTATGTATGGTTTCAGGAGATGTGTACAGGCGCCAAGTTGACAAGGGGTGGACTGTGATGATTACGATTGTATGTCAACTTGGCTAGACCATTATTCTCAGTGTTTTAGTAGTTGTATAATATTGTGATCACCCCCATGATGGAATCTGCTGAGTGGTACTGGTGGAGGCGGGGCTGTGGCAGCTCACCGCTCTCTCAGTTTCATCTCGCTGCCTTCCGCTGGTTACCTTCTGCCTGCTTGCCTTGCCAAGGTTTTTGGCTTGTTCCAGACTTAGCAGCTGCCTCTTGTTGTCTCATCTCTGGTTCATGGGACTTGAGCTAGCAGCTTACCTGTTGATCTCGGAATTCATTGAACTTCTCAGCCTGCAAGCAAGAGTCCGGTTCCCCGAACTGCCAACCTTGGGTTCGCCAGCCCCTGCAGCTACTCAGGAGAAACCTGACTGACTTGTCTGCTGATCTTGGAATTCACTGACGTTCACAGCCTGTGAGCGGGAGCCCCTCTCTGAACTGCCAACCTTGGTTTCACGAGCTTCTGTGGCTACGTGAACTGGGAGAGGCCTCTACCCTGATCTGTGGACTTGGGACGTTTTAGCCTCTACAGTTGCGTGAGCTATTTCCTTGATATAAATCTCTCTATATATTTATATGCTTTACTGGTTTTGCTTCTCTATAGAACCCAGACTAAGACAGTTCCTCTTACTCTCCTGTGCCAAGTTCCCTTTGTTTGTGGATTTTTTTTTTCTTTTGTTTTTACTGAGACTTTGTTTTTCTTCTTTATTATGATGAGTAGGTTTGTTAACTTTCTTTGTGATTACCTTGAAATTTACCCTTATCTTCCTAGATTTAAACCCGTCTATTATTACCTTGTATCACCCTGCCTTCCTCTCCATTAGAAGGTTCCATACCTACACCATTTATTCCCTTTTTTATTGTTATGATGCTGTTGTGATTACAGGTTAACCTCTCGTTCCCTGTTGTAATCCTTTTGGTTTTGCATAGTCCTTAAGTGTTCATTTCCTAGGTTGGCATCTGGCTAGTACAATCCTGTGTCCTATATTCAGCCTGTGGTCCAATGATGTTTGTTCTCAGATCAAAGAACTCCCTTTAATAAGTCTTGTAAGTTTGGTTTGGTTTTTACATAGTCCCTTAATTTTTGTTTATCTAGAAATAACCTAATTTCACCATCATATCTGAATGAGAGTTTTGCAGGATATATTATTTTTAGCTGGCAATTTTTTTCTTTCAAGGTTTTATATATGTCATCCCATTGCCTTCTTGCCTGCATGGTTTCTGCTGAATAATCCAAGCTTAGTCTTAATGTTTTTCCTCTCTATGTGACTTTTTGTTTTTCTAGAGCTGCTCTCAGGATTCTTTGTCTTTGGTTTTAGCGAGTGAGACTATGATATGCCTTGGTGATTTTCTTTTGGGGTCTACCCTATATGGGGTTTGTTGAGCTCTTAGATGGTCAGCTTTTTATCTCTCATGATATTAGGGAAGTTTTCTGTCAGCAATTCTTCAGTGATCTTCTCTGTGTTTTCTGTTTTCTCCCCC